ATAGCATGTTTCCTGGATTGCAATTCCTCGCTATTCCCAAATAAACTCAACTTCTAGTCATTTGAGCTTGCCTCAGTTTACCTATTTATTTAGGTTGACTCTGGTGTAGCTCCAGGCTCAAAGGGGTTCCCAGCTCCAGATAAGTTCACTCGGGATTCAGTGGGACCAGAAAATGACAACAGAACATTGGGGCTACAGGGTAGGTAAAAGGGATTATATCAAGTTTTCTTTTCATGGTGACAGGTCTAGTGCTAGAGTCATGTCTGCATCTGGAAACTCTGTCTCTGTCTCTGTCTCTGTCTCTGCCTCTGCTCCAGGTTCTCTGCTGAGCACTGGGTGGAGTTCTTTATATAGCAACACAGACAATAATAGCTTACTGCCTACAGGTGTGGAAGCAGAGTAACCTACACAGTAAGCCAATTACATCATCAAGTAGATTAGGGTCAGGTGAGGATCCTGGCCATGGGTGCTTTCATTTTTTTTTCCCTACAACTGGTAATGAAACTTTAGTCAATTTACTTAGTATCTCTAAGCAACAACTACTTAATTTGTAAAACAAGAGCACTACTACCAATATTATAGATTGTTTGGAGGACTAAATGAGTTAATACTGTAAGTCCTGGGAGAGGAAATCCTGGGCAAAATACCTCTAAAAATTGAAATCAGTCAAAGAGAGAAATAAAGTTTAAAATCCGTTTATTGCTTATAAACTGCAGTCCCGGCTGTCTTTCTTTCCTGCTCCAGCAGAAGCAAAACTGCCCCTCCCCTCCCCTCTCAGGTACAGATAAGCCTTCTGTTGCCCAGGTAATTACCCACTGATATGGAGTGAACTTCTCTCCACCCCTGAGGAATGATGCAAATGCACTAAAGCCATACTTCTTTCCACCTCTGAATGCCTATTGATACACAGATGTACTAAAGCCAGATGAGATATTCTGCAAATACTACAATTTTACCCACAAATACTTTCATCTAAGTATTGAAAAACGCTTAAAGAATAACTAGCACATAAACAATCTAAATAGATAAATTTTACCCTTTATCAAGAAACTATTTTTAATGGAGCAATAAAAAGTAAGGGAAGGAGTTGGTAAGGTTCTAGGACCTCATCTTTCATAGTATTTTAAAGACATTTTCTAAAAATTATTTAAATGTTTTTCCTCACAAAATGGGCTATCACCTGAATTATAAATATTACTCGTTGTTGTGAAAATCAAAGGTCATGAATTAAATGTTTTGAAAACTAAATACTAGTATTATGATGGTCAATATTATTATGTTGTAATTAAAATTTCATTGGGTTAAATAAGTACTTGAAACCAATTTTGATTATTGTGAATTTAATTTTGGCTCCAAGTTTCTTTGAAACTCAATTTATTTTACTATTTGTGGAGAACTGTTATAATATCTATGTATTTAACTATCATGAAATTAAAATCTCATTGCTTCGTAACCTTTGTGAACACACAATTATATTGGAAAGAAAATCATCTGGACAGTGCCTGGCAGATACCTTCCCATTCAAGGATGGATTATGTTGTACAGATACTTTATTTTGCCCACCTTTACTAGTTCTTAGGGGCAAGGCCTACAAGCAGGGAATGTCTCCAGGGGCTTCCTGTGCTCCAGGCAACAGTGCCATTCCCCATCCACAGTGAATCCACTCAAAGACAGCAAATAAAGATCTCCAACAGGCTAGTTCTGTGAAGGCAGCTTTGGGTTCCCCCACTTAAAAAGCAGCTTAATTTCCTGACAATGAAAATAGGATCATTAAAGATCAACTCCTCATTAATCCTAAATTAAACATTATTCTGGACTATCTGTAATTCTAAAAGGGATTAAAGTAAGACACTGAGTGTTTCCCTCTCATAGTGTATCTAGTCCTTGCTTTGCTGGTAATTATAAAGTTGAAAACATGCAAAATATTAAATATATCTGAACTGCAGAGATTATTCCAAAGGTATATTTTAGAGTAATATTCTTCACATACTCCCCTTTGTTTTGACTTTCATTGAAGTACCTCTAAAAGCTATCATATAGCTATGATGAGCTATTTATCCACAGAAAAATCAAAGCTTGATAACCAGTGACACAATGAACAGCTCCCTCTGTGGCCTGTAGAATAAGCTACACTTTTAACACTGTCAAAAGTGGCTTGCAATCCCTGAAAAACACCTTGCTGTCAGTCAGGAATTGGACACAGTCACCACCCACAGCTCTGGCTTCTGTGTTTGCACCAAGTGGCTACTCACCCCCTTCATGCCCTACTTCCTCTTGAACCAAGGTGAACACAGCTGGAATCAGTAAGATGAAGGTGGGTACATCATCTGGAAAGGTCAGAGAAAGGTACAGCTGGAGCCAGGCCCCAAGTAGATCAAAAGCTGCCAGATACCTGGAGCAGAGAAGCCTTGAGTTAGCACTGAAAGTAGGGTTTCAGAGAGGGGCAGTAAATGGGAGTATACTCACTGAGGAGGCAATGGGAGGCCTTACGGACATGGAGAGGCTGGGAGCTTTCCAGTTCTAGGGCCATTTAGCCTGGTTAGAGTGTTTCCTGCTGATAATGAGCACCCGCTGCAGTAATCCTTACAATAAACCTAGTTTTGAGTTTAGCTATTCTGGGGAAAATGGAAGTTCCTATGGCCAGGATCCTCACCTGACCCTAAACTAGTTGATGATGAAATTGGCCTACTGCTAGGCTAATACTTCCACCACCACTAGCAATGAACTATTGACTGAGTCACTACATAAAGAGCTCTGCCCAGTGCTGTGGGCAGAGGCGACAGGGGTGGATTATGAACCTGCAGACTGTTGTATGCAGATGCGATTCTAGTGCTTGACCCACACCATGAGAATAAAGCTGGCTATAAACCCTTTTACCCAAGAACGTTCTCATCAAATCCATAGTGGACTGGCCCAGGGCTCAAACCCTCAGGCAAGACACCTTTTTTGTAACTTTTTGTAACTCAATAATACCTAAGAAATGCCTTAATCCTTTGCTTTAATGAAAGAAATCCTTGAAGACAGTGAGGTCACACTTCTGGCTCGTGATCATTCAGTTCTAGAACCCGATTTGCTTGACTTCCCAATCTTGCTGTGCCTCCTGATCTCCTTTACATCTCAGTAGGCACTAACAAAGCTAGACCTGAAACAGTAAGCAATATTTCAATACTGCCTTAGTTTATTATGGAGGTCCTAAAATTAAATCAAGTTTGTCCCCACATAAAAGTGTGCCTGATACAAATGCTTCCTTTCTGGTGATTCAACTCAGCCAAAGCTTAAGGTTCCAACCAAAAATAAAGAGTTGTCTAAAATCCATTTGTGCTCACAGACAAATAACTTACACCCTACTTCTTGGTGAGATCAGGTCCAGCCTGTAAATTCTATTTCCCTTCTTTAACTACTGTCTCACAATTTAGTTCAGCCTAATTTAACACTTCTGTCAAGTTCACTTTTACATATATTACCTTGAGATGCATTTTTAAGCCTTTAAGAGGGGAGACAGTGGAACTGATACAACAAAAGAGTGTGTTGTACAGAGCAATTACCAGTTTCTCATGTATATCCTCTGAGTGACAGTGAAGGGGATGTGTGTAATGGCCCCCTGAATACCTGGCGTCTACACTACCTGCAAGATAGGACACAGAAAGCACAATCCCTATTGGAATGCATACTAACGTAAGTCAGGAGCCTTCTTTTATTTTTCCTGAATGTTAACAATATGGAAAGCAGGCATGGAAGATGTTATTCTGAGCACTGAGAAATATGCACTGGCCTAGACTTCCACACTGTGAGTTCGTTAGATTTGGAACGAGTTTGTCCAACAAGCTGGCTCTGAAAAGTTAACATGGCCCTGGGTAGTCTCTAGTGCCCTAGAATTACAGGCTAGGTTGGTTTTGACTCTCAAATGGTGTGGATTGGCTAACACTGAGTTCCAGGGATCCTCCTTGCGGCTGACATAAGATTTTCTCTAGAATTGGTTCAGTAATTCCACCAGATAGGCAGGGTTAGCACTTGGGGAAAGCATAGAAATCAAGTACAATATATGTATAAAACATATGTAGGTTTGTTACAATTAATATTTGTCAACCAAGAATATATCTCAATTATTAAAGTTTTGGTGTACTTTCAGAAAATGTTTAAACTTTAGTTGAATTAAGCCAAAGACTTAAAGATACCACAATAATCTTGTTTTGCCTTTATTTCCAAGAAACACTAAAAATTTCAATAAAATCCCTAATATAAATTTTATAGTACCACATACACAGTGAAGAGTGTATCTTTTTACAGTGTCAGAAAAGTCTATATATATATATATAATATATTCTTTTACATAATTGTAATAGAATTAAAATTATGGTTTGGTCTCACAAAGAAAATTAGGTATAGTTTTTGTGTTTAAATGATTTTACAATATTAAAAAATGTTTTCAAGGAGTTCAGTGGCCTGAAATATACTTTGACATGTTGATTCAGAATTAGAGTTATTTTTACACTTTCCTTTATTGAACAGAAATATGATTTTTGAGATTGTACATATTTCCCCTGAGACACCTATGTGCTTCCTTGGCACACATATTAAGTACCATATAAGAGAAAGTTTTATTGTGAAATATCACCTACTGCAGGGAAAGTAGGTCACAGCAGGATAAGATGGGACCTCAGGACATGAAGGGTTTTCAGCCCTCAAACCTCTTGCTGAGCCAACAGCAGGAGTCATGCCAACCTCCCTGTGCGTCCCTGAAGCCCCAAGTCTGACTTCTGACACCACTGGCCTCTCAAGGACACAGCATGCCTTAGAGGTAGCTGCTTCTATGACTTAAGGCAGGCAAAAATCAAAATTGTCTGGACCATTCTGTTTTTTTTTTCACATAGCATAGATGCATTTAGAAATGTCAGAGTCCTAAAAGGACATTGGCATCAACATAAAGGGACATCCTATCGACCAAGTCATGAGACTCTGAGCATCAAATACAAGCATAGAGAAGTAATACAACACAAAAGTAGATTGCGATAGAAGTTTAATTATTAATAAGCAGGAGAGCACTCATTCTGAATATTTCTTTTAATAATTATATCTGCTTATAATATTTACATATGTAGTTATTTCTATGTGGGTAAGGATCATAGAATAAACACATGGAAGTTGTAATTTGGTCAAATGATCCTGGCATAAGAAAGTACTAAAATAAAAAATAGGGTAGATTTATCAGTACAAATAATAGGATGTATGACGAGTACAAATAATAACCAGGTAGAAGGTGACACAGGTGGTCATAAACAATAACAAAGGAAAAGAGACAATTCAACACTATATTCTAAAATATGAATTATTCAATGTCATGAAGAGACAAGTTAAACATAAACTAAATCCTTCATTACTCAAATGAAAGCTCTAGAATCAACATTCCCAAAAAGGATACAACCATTTCAAATGATGAAACAGAACAGATTGAAATATCCTAAGGACAAGCCAGTAGGTTAGAACTGTCAGCCATGCAAAGCTTAATACACCATTACTGCAAAAGATACCAAGTTTCAAAGATAAACATTTATTAAGAAGGGAACTTAAGAGTTGACTATAAAATGGCAGCTCAACACTGTGGCTTAGATTTGAATTACCCTGGTCACAATCAGACCATGTCCACACCAAGATTTAAGTGGTCAATAACACAGATTCTTTCTTTTTCTAGTTTTAGTAAGAATACTGAAACTCAGGGAAGTACCAACACTAAAAGATGAGGAATGTACCCCATTAAGAATCATATTACACTGGAATGTTATTAAGTATACACAGAAATAATGAAGAAATTACCTAAATCATAGTTTTGATGTACAAGAACAGATTTAAGTGAACGTGCAATAATAAATTTTCATAATCACTGCTTATGTAAGTCTTTCATCAGCTATTTAAGGTGTATGAAGGTTTCAAAAGATCATCCATACTGAATTTGCACTCATAGTTTAATATTTTCAGAAAATTAATAGGTTATTTTGGAATTAGTGTTTAAATGTTCAAGAAAAATTGGGGTTCATCAATTTTTTTCTACATAAATTTAATGAAGTGATCAATAAATTTAGTATTGAGTATTTAGTACTTTCAGTGTTGAATATTATTCATGTCTAAAATGCCTCAGAAAATGAAAGAATCTACTAATTATTATTTTACAAATTAATACTTCAGAAGAGAAAGTCTCCAATTATGAATCTTAACAGCCGCTGCTAGAATGCAAGTGAAGAAGTGATTTTAAAAGGACTTAAGACAAAGCTTGAGTTGTCTATTCCTACCAAACACAGTCATTTGCTGGCTTTAAAGACAAAGGATTCATAACTTGGTAGGAATCACATTTCCACAATAACCGCTTAGATAGATGCCCTCATGTATGATTGTGGCTACTTCACACCAGTCTTGAAGTAGTGTTGAAGGTAAGTCCCCAAAATAGACTAAGAATCTGAAGCACAAATGTTGGCTCAAGAAAGGAAAACTCAAAAAGTCAGTACTTCAGAGAGCTACTATCTGACCAGTTGCTAGATCTTCAGATACTGTGGAATTGTGAGGGTACCTCTCAAAGAAAGAAAAGCACTAGTCACATTAAATCTGACACATGAGAATAAAGACAAATCGTATTAGAAAAATCACATGATTCTGGCAAATCAAAACTGTTCACCACATTTAGCACATCTTGGGTGAAAGAAAAACAAAAAACAAAGGAAAAAATAGAAAAAGAGTCCACCTAACTTGTAAGCTTTATGAACCCTATCTTCCCAGCATTTGTTCCGGAGTGAATGAAAGAAGGGATCTTGGGAACCTCACTCCACCCCCAGGCCCCGCCCAGCACTCAAACCAAACCCAAACAAAGTCTTTGGGAACATAAGTACTCTGTTTGCAAAATTAAGCACAATGTGAATTAATTCAATTTAAGTGCTGGTATCACAGTGAGTTACATTGATTATACATCTTTTCAAGTTATGAAGATAAACCTGAAATCATACAACCTGATAGGAAGCTGGTTTGGTGCTCAAATGGCCACGAGTTCTATACATACATCAACACCACATTGGCACTGTAAAGAAGGTGCTATGTTGAGCTGCAGGGGAGGTGTGGTGAAATAAGACCACAAGGCTTTTTGTGATTATGGCTTTTTTCTCATTTCTTCATCCCAGTCAAAATCCAACGCCTCATCACCTAATTCTGGTAAAGTAAAGAGAGATTTTGTGGAAAGAGTCAGTCTCTCAGTAGACCCTTCCAACTGAAAAGTTTCCCTCTTCCTGCCAAGCCCAGTAGCTGTAGCTGCAGGAGGTCTTAGGACTTTCTGGTCCTCACGGTCAGGAGGAGGAGGGGATTCTGATTTGGATTCAGAGGAGGAAGTAAAGGAGAAGTCGGCCAATTTGGCTAATGTGCAAGCGTGAACCTTGCCCCTTTTGTTCCTGCATGAAACCTCTTCCCTTCTGTCTCTTTCACAAGTAAGATGAAAACGCCCAGGCTCATTCCCAAGCTCCAACTCGGGCTGAACAGTTCTCTTTTCCGGAACACGTTGCCCCTGGTCCCTTGACCCCGCTTTCCCTGGTGGCTGCAGGGATGCCTGCAACCTTGCCTCCCGCTGCCGCTGAGCCAAGCTCTTGTTTCCCAGGGAACCGGCCAACTTCTCGGGGTCCGCCCCAGACTGAGCTGCTCCTCTTGCTGCTCCCTGTTGGGGATTTCTCGCACTCTGAACTGAGGTCTCAGGCGTGCCACGGGACAGAGGGCCGTGGTCTTCAGGGGGGTGCATCAGTTTTGACCTCTGTTTGAAAGTAAATTTTGCCAGTTTGGCCACTGAGGGACCCTGACTCCCAGTCCTTTCAAGTCCGGGCTCTTCCACCTGAGCAGGGAGTTTCTGTCTCTTCCTTTTGGGAGTCTCCAGCGTCCTTTCTGGGCTACGCACAGGAATGGGCAGAGGATGAGAAGGGCTTGTGGGCTGTGAAGACGCCCTGGGGAGATTCCTGCACAACTCCTGGGCCCTCTGCTTGCACAGCGTGTGCAGTTTCCTGGGGACGTGATGAGTCAGGACTGGGCTGGCCTCATTGGCAGACAGTGCTCCTTCAGAAACATCGGCTGCCTTTTTCACCTTGTTACCCTCAACACTGTCTGGCCTCAGTGGAGCTTCTGCCTCTCCCAGTGCTGGAAGCTGTCCTGTTTCCAATCTGCTCCTCTGGCCTGGCTCATTCTTTTCCTCACCCTGAGATTTGTTGTTGGAGATTTTCAAAGCCATTTCCCCTCCAGTTGTTTTAGGACTATGAAATAGAGGAACAGTGGGTTCAATCTGATGAGCTGCAATGGAGTCAAACCAGTCCAAACTGTCATCTCTGCTATTTTTGTGCTTGTTTGAATGTTTTCTACTTGTGGATCCATTAGGCCCCAGATGGGATCGGGGGTTGAGAAGTGGGCTTGCCTCAGCAATGCCTGCAGTAGAGGACCTATGCTTGCTACAATTCATTTCCTGCTGTGTTGATGTTCTAAACTTCGATTCTTCCCCTGGATCATTTCTTGAGGATCCTGGAATAGTCTCTGCCTCTGTTGCCTGTGGCTGGAATTGGGACACACACTGATTCTGTAACCTGTAGCAGAGAAAAAGAAGTAAAACATGTATTGAAGCAAAAAGAATTTACTTTAACCTTTTCATTTCTTTAGTCTCTTGAGATGCCATCTGAAGGCTTAAGTCCAACAAAATTCCAAGTTAATATCAAATACAGTCTTGAAGAGCAGCAGGAGAAAATTATCCTCTTTCATCAGTATAGAATTTAAGTGCTCCCACAGTCCTAATTTAAGCTAAAACTGTAGTGAAATAATGGAAATGAAGTAGCAGGTTTATCTACATTTTAGATCTCTCAGAAAGTTCATTTAATTAAGATTGTTGAAGGTCAGTGTGAAAATGTTCAGTCTTATCTCTCATGTTAATGTTCAACTATAAGACAGACTTGCAGCTATCTGCACTGTAGCTGACTGCTGATCAAGAAAAGTGGCTCTAGTTTTGAAGACAGTTTAGATCAGAAAGTCAAATCTTAGAGATTATGATCTTCTCACATCTCTTTACCTAACTGAAGTTGCTCAATTTTAGTTCACCTAAAAAGCCACCCTCCTTAGGAAAAGAGACTGTAGCTCTCACTGCCCTCCAGCATTCGTATTCATCACGACCTCACACAGACAACTGTGACGAATGCCAAGTCCAGCCATGTTTCTACATGTGGATGGATGGGTAGCTACTCTCCATCAAGCTGAAACCTAGAAAGAAGGATCTCATCAGTTATACTCATTTTTAAGTCTTGGGCATATTAGAAACTGAAATAATGCCATAGGAACAATTTCTAACAGATTGTTGTTTTTCAAAAGGAGGTCCTTTAGGAAGCCTTTGCTAGCAACCTAGAAGTAAATGCCTTTTCTATGAGGGGGTAATGTGACCCCACTTCCAAACACTCAGATCTGAAAAGGAAATATACTAGAAAGCATACTGAGTAAATTATTCTAAAAATCATGTGTAATCATAGAAAAAGGAATTTTTAAAAATATATTAAATTTAAATGAATTTAAATACATTAAAATATCAATGGTAGAGCTGAGAATTAAGATTATATGTGATTTTTGTATTCTTATTAATTAATTACTGTTACCTTTCAAAATAATAAAGAATATATATAACCTCTTACAATTAGGAAAGAAAAACTGGAAAAACGTTCTTAAAAATATTGAGCTATCTTCACTCACAGTAGACTTGGAAACATCAATACCACAAAATCTATGTTCACTGTAGTCAGAATCAAATGAAAAAATTTCAAATAGCATTCTAAACTACTACAATCTAGAATACCCTCTTCATCAAACTGAGGTTAGAGATACTCTTAACTGTTAAAGCTCCAGAAAAGTGTCCTAAAAGATGGAAATTTTAAGGGATAGAATAATTTAGACTATTTTAGTCTAATTCTGACCATGGGAATTAAATTCTCCCCTATATAAAATGTCTGCAGTTTCACTACATCTTCCTAAAAGCCAGCCTCTTTGCACTCTTTTGAGGTGAGCAGAATGGCCACAATTTGAGGCAGGCTGTCACTAGTAAAGCATTTTCCAGAAGAAAAGTGTGATAAAAATACAAATAGTCTTATTACTAACACAATCTCCTTAAGGAACAGAGAACTCTTTTCAGGGGATAAACCCATATGCTACTTGGGGTTTTCTCAGTTGATAAGATTAGCTTTAGATTATTATGTCTTGGAGGTAATTTATTTTCATTCACAGGGCACCTGGCTTTTTGTTGATTTGAAGATAAACACTGGAACGTGTCCTTGCACTACACAGAAATACCAGAAGAAAAGAATATTTTAAGGCAGAATCCTATTTTTTAGATCATTATCTACTTACTTTTTCCTTATTTCTCTCCAGGAAGGTCATTTTAAATTTGGTAAGTACAAATACTATTTTCCTATCACACAGCACTGATTCTGAGCCTCACGTTTCTTCCCTTCCTGAATCCAGCACATGTGAGCTCTTGGTAGTCAAAATGACCGATTGCTAGTCAGTCAAAATGAGCAGCCTCTCCAAAAGCAAAGCTGCCCCAGGGCAGGCCTGAAATGCACCAGCCACATCAAACCATAAAAGAACTGAAGGAATAACTTTGATCTAAATACTAGGCTCTGGATCATTAAAAAGCCAGAAGACCAAAAGAAAAGGGGTTTGATTTTATAAAAGTGCACGGTTACTACAGGTTGGCACCTGGGTATTATTAGCAGGACAAAGCCAGTCCCCACACTTCCTCCAGAAGACTGGGCTGGGATTCTCTAAATTAGAAAAAGAGTGCTGCAGGATGAAGGGAGTACACAAGTAGACGAGAAAGCCTGGAAAAGAATTCTCCAGGTTTTATGTAATAAAGTCACCAACCTTAATGTGGTGCCCAATGTCTCCCGCTGCTGCTCCACTTCCACATGCACTCACTCACCAGACCTGAGCTTTGAGATCAACACCAATAACCAGGCTCAGGCCAATGATTAAGCTACTTTCTGATGATGAAAATATCCAAATGAATACACTTGCCATTTCATTTCTCACTCCTGTTTCACAGGTACAAACTCAAAGTCTAGCTTCATAGAAGCTCATGCATTTAAGGAACATGCAAACAATAAAGGTCAGGCGAAAATACTTTAGGCAATGCATGTGACATGTTCCTTCCTATATGGCCATGCTGTCAGCAAGTCAGAAAACGGAGCTTTAAAACACTGCTTTTGTCATTCCTGAGCTGTTACTGGTAGGATGAAAGCAGTTTCCTCTTCAACATAAAATACATAATTTTCACTGGGATTTTTAAAATCTACTGGATATGTAAAATTTTAGAAGTCATGAAATTGGGCATGTAGGGAGGGAAAATCATGCTGCTGAAGGGAGGGTCAGAGCTGCTGCTAATGAACCAGGAGGGCCTTTTCCAGGTGAATCAGTACTGGTTATCTCTACCTCTGTAATTTCCCCAGTGCACTAGCTTAGGCTGGCTTGGGAGCAGTCTGGGCCTTAGACTTCATTCTGTGATTTTCTTTCACCAGCGTAAAAAGACTAATGATCAAATATTTATTATGCTTGGAAGAAAGTTTTTAAAACAGTAAGAATAAAATTTAAATATTAATTAACACAAATATTAAGATTATGTATGTAAACTCCCTTGCAAATGTCCTCTCCTGGCAAGATAAAATGATAAAGTCAAATTATTAATCTATTTTGTGTTTGGGTCTGGCCTGGGACAGATCTCTCTCCTGGACTCCAACTTCCTCTTTCTTACCGGCAGTCCCAGCCACCTCTTTGAATAGCACTGCTATACTTCTTATATTAAGCCAAAGAAAGAGAAGAGCAAGAAGTGGTAGTGGTAAACAAGATAAGGCCCCTTCACCAGGATTCCTTGATTCCATGGAAACTCTGTGTCTTGGGTGTGAGCCGTGGGTAGCCTGCCTTGGTGCCTCTCATGTAGTCGGGACCCAGTGGCATACATAGTTTGCTATACATGGTGAAAGACCAGACAGTGTTCTCCATGAGGCTCATCAAACCAGCAAACCGAGGAAATGCAGTGGAAGGTGGTCTCCAAAGGTAACAGCCATCAATTCCCCCATTCCTGTATGTCTATGGCACTCCTCCCATCAAGAAGTGGTGTCTGTTTCCCTTTACTTCATAGGTGGGCTGACCTTGTGACTTCTCTGACCTACAAAATGTGGCAGAAGTGATGCTGTACCAGTTCTGGCCCAGCCTGCAAGAGGCCTGGCAGCTTCCACTTTTGCTCTATTGGAGTCCTAAGCTACCATGTCAGAACTCTGACAACCCCATAGTAGGAAGAGCCCAGCCAGCAGCCAGCCACAGAAGCCACCCCAGGTAAAGCACCACACACACGATGGAGGTGACCCTGCACGTTCCAGTACCAGCTGGGCTCCCAGCTCAGTGCAGGCATATGAGGGACCCCAGCCCACACACTATTAGGAGTAGAAACAAGCATTCTCACTGAGCCCTCCTGAATTTATGGCTCTCAGAAAAGTGAACATTAAAATAGTGCTTTTTTAGGCCACTAAGCCTTGGGGTAGCTGATTATACAACAACAGATGACTTAAACAATCCCCTACAGATAGTACATATTTTCCACTTAATTTATACTTCCTTTGTTTTACTAAATGTCAAGCAAGGCTTTTCCACTGTATGACTTTCTGGGTTTTCTTTTCTCACCTTTCAAGTCTTCTTAGCTCTTCATTCAAGAGGTCGTATAGTTCCAGCTTTTCCAGAATAAGTTCACACTGCCTCTGGTACTGCTCCAGAGGGTTTTCAGGAAAGGAAGTATGCAGTGCATTTACACCTCCTAGCAGTGAACCTCCCTGAAGGGGTGAGAAAATGGAAAATACCAGGGAAAGTCACCAGGACACCTGCGCAGAGCAAGTACCCACTAAGGACCACTGATCCCAGGTGGCTAAGGCACTCTCCAGCCCCATCTTGACTATCAGATTCACCTGGGGGCCTTTTGCAAATTTCAGTAGTCCTCTACCCCAATTCCTGATGGCCACATCATTCTAGGGAGCCATGCTGTCACTAGTATGTCAAGGAGAAAAAGTGCTGAGACCCACTCTTCACACCAATAGGCAGAAGCAGTGCTGCTGATGCAGAGGAAGTACCTGTGGGAATCTCTCCCTTGCTTTTAAAGGGGGTTCGGGTTCTTTGGCTGTATTTCTAGGAATATTAGTTCTAAAATAGCATTTTTATAACTCCTGATGTGCTATAAATTGTCTTTTCTTAAAAGAATGTTTGTAATGAGGGTTCTGACCTTACATACAAAGTATCGTTACCTGCATGGAGGACTCCATGACCGACACCACTGTCACAGCGTCTTCCAGAGTCACGGTGCGGCGGAACATCAGGCGAGCATGAGCTAGGAACGTAAAATGCATTGGAAGTTAAGAAGATTTTTTAATGAGTATCTGAGGTGACTAATGTATTACTCTACAGGATCTCGCCCACCAACTGTAATTTATGAATGAGCTACTAATAACAAATTAATTTTACTAGAACAAGCACAAAAATCGAAGTTCAACAAGCTTCAAGGTTGTTTCTTTAATAACGGACCTAATCCTTCAGCATAGCCATGGCAATTCAGTGTGTTTATCTGCAAAGTACTCTGGGCTCCAGCAAAGAAAGGGACTATGTAAGCATATATTTGGTATTCAACATCTTCTTATCCTCACTTTCTAGACTATTAGAGAAATACATAAAATTAAAACTCATTTCTCATCCTGGCACTTCTGTTTATCTGAGAGTTTCCAAACTACTGACTCACAAGCCTGAATTTTGGTTATTTCTTGCCTTAATATTAACTATAGATCCTTGAAAAAGTGAAGAGCATTTTTTATAAAACTTTCTATTGAGCACATATTAATTATATCTTCATATGATAAAGTCAGTTCTTATGAATATTTTTTTTTATAATTATTTAAACAATGGCTAATATTAGAACTAACAGCAGTCTTGAGATGCCTGTTAGCTGTACGTATGCATGTAATTCTGACAACTTAGAGATGGGACAAGACATGGCCCTGTTAATTTGGTGTTAGTATGTTAGTGGTGGGCTGTGAATAATGACTAGTGAGAAACAGTTGGAGATGCTATACAGGAAACAATTCTAAAGGAGTATTCCCACCCAAAATGTTACCGACTGCGAATGAGAAACAAAACATCAGTAAATAAGACTTCCTACATGATGTCTTAAGTTATACAAGGTTTTGAGATGTCACAAAGATTCCTGTTTCTTAATGATGCTGCTTTTCCACTTAATATGCAGAAGCTGTCCCACACACAATAGAGGTTTCATAGTTCAGAGCCTCTACTTTTTAAACAACTGTGAGCTCCCTGGAGGAGAGATTATTCTTGCTCATCTCTGAATTCATGGTGTCTAGCCCCATGCCTTACACATACTGGGCACCCAAAAAAAGTATTATTTGTTGAATAAAATAAACCTTCTGCTAATCGAATCAAGCTTTCCAATAGGCGGATGGTTGTCCGAGCAGCATTCCGGGAATCACTCTGCCTTTGCATCTGGTAGTAGCGGAGAAGGACTTGATTACCCACGTCAGACAGTGTGGGCTGGAGATTCCTAATAAGGCAGAAGTAGGTTTTCATCTTTTCCATGCTCCAGAGCTTCTCTGATTTGCTTGGGTAACCTGTACGAACAGGCAAGCATCTCATTTTAAGGGTTAATGAAGTTCTTGTACTCATTCTTAAAGAGATCACCTTCGAGTTTTGCAGCCATTGAAATCTAGAAGTGACCATGCAGCATATAGCTTGAATATAGGCAGTCTAAGGATCTACGCTTAATAAGATAGGCTCCCTACAGGGGCTACAATTATCAGAATAACTCTGGTCTGCCCTATAGTAATAAACAACATTTCAGAAAACTTAATTTAAAAAGATGCCTAATATTTAGAGATTTGTTTCATAATTCAGTTGAGTTTTCTTTGCACTCAAGAGGTGAGTGGCAATTATATATCATATGGTTGCACCCTTTCACCAAGAAGGACGGATTTACCAACTGTAATGTCACCAATGGCAGACAGAGAGAAGCCCTTTTCCTTTTGCTTGTTACTGTGGGCTCACTGACTTGCTCCCCTCCCTGTTTTCCCTCTGTGCCCATTAGGTAGGGTACCTTGGATATTTACTTAATTTTCTTCAAAGAGAATTTTATTTAGTTATGTCTACTCTTTCTCTGTCAATTCAAACATTTGTCTTCACGTACCTTTGTTTTCTAAGATAAAGGAGGAAATTATACGATCCCAGTCTTCATTCCTGGTATCAAGCAATACCAGGATCAGGTCAAATCGACTTAGAAGCGGGCTGCCAAGGGCGATGTTCACAGACACGGACTCACAGGGGTCGTACTGGCCTTTCGGGTTAGTTGCTGCCAGGATGGTGGCCCTTGTGTTCAGCTTGCACACGAGGCTACCCAAAGAAAGGGGACAGCTCACTGACTATTGAGATTCAAACAAAAAGCAAGATTAAACTTGTTTATAAAAAGGGCTTCTCTTGTACCTTGAAAGTCTAGAGAAACTTGTTTGAAAGAGAATGTGGAATTTGAGGAGGTATCACACACCAAGTTCAAATGAAGTCATAGTCTACATTTACATCAGCCTATCCTGAAGAGAAATAACTGTTGAATAAACACTTCTCATGCCCCTACTATGAGCAAACTCCTCTGCTGGATGCTAAGAGGTATACAAAATAAGCCAAACGTGCATTCTGCTCTTAAGGAACTTGCAACCCACTGGCTATGATGGAAAGACAGAGCAGAATACAGTGACTTCTAAAGGTATAAAGTTCCAGGAGAAGCAAGGGGATGTGTGTTCATTTATGTGGAGAAGAGCTGCCCAGAGACACGTGACAAAGTACCTCTGAGCTGCGCCCTTCATGACAGCGGGGCTCTTCTGGGCGCGGAGGGATATATATAGGCTTGTGCGTGTGGCACATGAAGGTTGGGGGTGAGGGCACTGCTGAAGAATGATGAGTGGTTGAAGCAAAAACTTTCTGTTCACTGATTTTGTTTTGATTTTTCTAAGTGATAGAAACAAAAAAAAAGAGAGAGAAAGGGGAAGGGAGGGAGGAAGAGAAAGGGAAGGAAGTCAGGGGAAATAAGGACTGATGAGCACCCTGTTTTTGAGGAACAGTGAGGGAAGGCTGAAGAGGTCTGGGCACGGTGGGCGGCTGGACCAGGAAGGACCGGCCGGCGCCCAGGAGCAACGAGGGCCCTGGCCCAGCAAGAGGCACACAAGGCCTCACCCAGCAGAAGCAGGACAGGTGTGGGTATGGTATCACTTAGGTATTGTTTTTATATTTAATAATGATGCCATATTGATAGATAACAAATGCACATTTTTTTCTAAATTTGTAGGCTCTCCACCTGATGAACGCTTTCAGTTTTAGTGGCACGTTTGCCTGTCAGCAGTCCCAGCGCTGAGACTTCAGCAAACGTGCTATGTTTGCTGATCCCTGACCTACGTATGTCCAGTTGGCACTAGCAATTACCTCATGCCCTAAAGGCTGAAAAATTTGAGAATTTTTTCTTGAGGAAAATAGTATAGGAAGACAAGGGAAGAGAGAGACAAGGCACTTTCACTGAAAACTAAATCCCCCTTTTAAATAAGTACTGACAGGGAACAATTCTGAACAGTCCACATCTTATAACTTATGTGTCAAAATGGCTTTGCAGAGGCAGTTGTTCAGAACTTAGAACCCACTCTGTCACAAAAGCAATGTAATAAATGGTCCCTAGCTAGTCCCAGAGAAGCATATTTAATTCACACTGAGGTGAGGCTGTTCGCATTTATCAGAGAGAAGAAAATTGCTGTAATACTGGCAATGAAACAAAATACACCTGCTTATGAACTAATTTTTTAAAAATTATTTTCAATGCGAGGTAAATTAATTGATTGTTCCTCCTCTCTCTGATCAACAAATATATATAAGCCACTTCCTTTGTGCAAAGGACTGCACTGAGAGTTCAGAAAAATATACAGCTGGCCCCTGCCTTCAATTAGTTTACAGTAAAACCACTGGAGGGTGGAGAGACTCAACCCAGCATCTGCCCAACAGTACACAGGCAGCGGAGGAGGGAGCAGCAGAGACAAAGCCCTGCAGAGACTCCTGGGTAGCCAGAAGATAAACAGCCTTAAAGCCATCTATGATGTGAGAAGGAAAATGAACCAGCAAGGACAGAAACAAGATGGTGAGTTATTTCTGAGGTAACCAGAAAACGAATGAAAAGAACAAGCAGAAGGAAGGGGTCTAAGGAATATGTAAATCGGAAGGGAAAAAGCTGCCTAAGGGGCAGCCTGAAACATAGAGGGGTGGGCAAGGGGAGAGGAGATTGTTTGCAATTATAAGTCAGGCAGCTGTCTGTAGCAAAGATGGAGACAGTGTGGTCCTGGTCATTTGAAAGACGGGGAGACAGCACATAGCTTGGTGGTTGCAGACAATGACAGAAACATTACTGCATTAAAAACTGAATGGGGCTTTAGAAAACACAGATACATCAGAGTCTAAATCCTAAGTACTTTGTGCATAATAACGGCTGACTAAATAACTGTTGAATGAATAAACTTACAAATTAGTTCAAAATAATGGTCATTTTTCCAACCCAACAGAGTGCTGAGCTGAGCTCAGTCGAGAACAGAAAAAGGAGTTATCTTAGAAATTAGAACCAGGGCCTAATCACGAAACTCTTAACAATGCCCACCTAGCAGGACTCCCAGATTTCTACAATGCTGTGTCTGCCATGTATTTCCCACCTTCCTCTGTTCTAAGTGGAGGTAGTTACTGTGACCAGCCAGTCTCTGGCCACTGTGATATACACTGTGCGGTGGGAATGGGAGGGTGGGGACATGCTTCTCTGTCTCAGTTTAAAGGTGTCTTAGTTGGGTCCCTCAATAGCTGACTTTCGAGATAAACACTTACTGGTAGTTAATTTGGGAGGTAAACCTAAACGTAGAGAAAGTCAGAACAGAAAAGAGAAAAGCCAATAAAGACAATGATGAGCAAGTTACTACTGTAGGAAATTGGGGCTCAAACCAGCCAGGGAATCTTGAAATTATACCAAAATTATCCCACCCAGGGATAGAAAAAAAGAGGTATTGACTAAATGATCCCCCAGTAGTTGAGGATTAATTCTGGGGTATTAAAATCCCCACACTTCTAGGTTGCCCAAGTAAGGGTTGAACAAGCTCCTGCAGTACCAGAGAATGCCCTTGGGCATATGGGCACAGTGGTCCCAGAAATGGGAATATGACAGTTGCAGGCAAACTCAGAAGGGGCATAAGGAAGGCATCGCAATCTTTGGTTATTGTGGATCACTGGATTATAAGGAGCCATAACTAGATGTGCAAATTTCCTGCAGGTCCTGATCACTGAGTGGAATGCAGCAAACAGAAAGGACCTTGGGTTGTATTTCTTAGGAACAGGTTGTGTTCCATGTGTAGAAAGGAGAGTGAAATAGCACATTGTGGTAGAGACTGAAATGTGTTCACCCATTCTTAATTCCTTTCTTCCAGACAAAGCTAAGCCATATTTCCCAGCCTCCTTTGCAGTAAGGTGAGCCCATGTGACTGAGCCCTGGCCAACAGAAAGGGGCCAACAGGAATGTACACCACTTCTGCCTGGCCCCTGAAATCTTTTATGTGCAATCCTCTACTTTTCTCTCCCTCCCCATGTAAAGGAGGACCGGTCCATAAGGCTGAAAAGCTCTGTGATAGGAGTCAGGATCTCTGAATGATTCTGTGGGCTAGAACAACTCCTCTTGTACACATACATGAGCAAGAAACCACCTTAGATTGTCCACTGCTTGGTAGTGCAGTTAGCCTGCACTGACTGATACATAGCAAATCTCTGGCGAGCTCCAGATTCTTTGGCTGGGGAAAAAAACCATCCCAATGCTAAGTGGTCTCCTCACCAAAACAATCAGCCTCTGATGCAACACTCACATACCAGTTTCTAGATTATCCAACATTTCTAGATTAAAAGGGCCTCAATTTAAAATAAAACTGTTTAGCACCTCCCCAAAATGGGGTAAAAAGCCCCATAGAACCATACAAAATAAAAACACAGTGATATTCTCACAATCCATCATGTATTTCTGGTAATCATAAACGTTAGGTACACACATGCTCCCCTGCATTTTAACAAGGTTAATAAAGTTGACAAATTACCTTTCACATTTACATTGACTCCAGGAGTGGGAACAAGAGATTCACAGGCAGTGGGGATAGGAAAGAGAGAGTGAAGTACTGCTCATGTATAGCATCTAAGAAAGAATAGAAAACTCTAAAAGTGCTTGATTTGAACTTACATTTGCACATCTTGGTGGCATGCTTGGATGTCTCTAAGGAACATTTGTCAACCCACAGTCCCTTTAGCCCCACGGGGGTCAAAGCCCTCTCAGTGTGGTGAGGTAGAGCACTTGTTTCCTCATCTCCCTGTCTTCCTTCGTTAACCTAAGGGTCGTCTGTGAAGGATGCCCCCATAGACACAGCTTCAGAAGATTCTGGTAAGAAGAGACAAACAGGGTGTCTGGGTGTGGAGCAATCTTGCCTTGGGGAAGTGACTCCAAAGGCTGGCCTGTCAGTAACAACTGAGGGGGGTGGTTCAACAATACAGATTCTCAGTTCCTATCTCCGAGCTTCTGACTGGCAAGCCTGGTGTGGGTTACAATGCTGCGGATCAGCCAGGTGGGGATTGATGCCATGGCTCTTCTATGACTGTTAGAATCAGCATCTAGTAAATGTTTGTCTGTCTTGCTACAAGGTTGTGAGCATCTTAAGAACAAAGGCCTTGTCTTTTCATCTTTATGGTATTAGTAGCTAGCAGAGAGCATGACATTACTTAGTGCTCAGGACATGTTTTGAGCAAAACAATAAATTGACATCTCACTTTTTAAAATTTAGACTATACTTTTTACATAATAACTTGAGTATAATTTAGTAGCACCAAATATGTAATTGTAACATCAAAACTTTTCTCCTAAAATATGTCCTCAGCAAATAGTATACCCTATCTTTTAAGAATCGACTTATCCTCTATTATTAAAAACCTACTGATACCTTTCCCTTGAAGAGATGCTATCCTACTTATATTTGGGAAGAACCTCGAAAATAATGAAGCATTCTCTTTCCCAAATCATTACTTAGTTTAGTATTCTACAGTGTTAAAATCATTATCACATAAAGCCCTCTCAAGTGGCTTCTCAGTCTCAGGTGGCACTGTGTGTTATTTACCAGGTGCAGGGACTGATTTGTACAGTTTAAAAAGACAGATGAGTTCAAATACAGATATCTGTTTTTAAGCCCATATTGCATCATTTGTTTCTTGGCTTCCTCTTCTATTTCATTAAGCAAGCAGGACAAAATAAAAGTTATTAAAACCCCCAAACTTTAAAAAGTTCTCATATTTAATTGATATAAGTAAAGAATAACCAGATTATTGGTCTTATCAAACATGTATCAATTCAATAAGACATATGTTTTGGTATCTTACACTAAGTTGCATTATAATAGACTCAAGGCATCCTGAGTGTTTAAGCAGTTTTTTCTATTCTGACTACCCATGAAAGCTTTCACACTGCAGAAATCTTAATGACTAGTTCCCTCCCAGGCACTGGCACATTTGAATGGTGGGTGTCTGGCTTTTGATATGCCCTTGCAGGTATATGCCCACCACACAGATAAAGCTTAACCTCAACTCAAGCTTATGGAATTGGCAGAGTTATATGGAACAATTAAGTGTGTGGTTCCTATTTTCTAAAAGAGCTCTATGCAGTGTATAGTAAGTGACACATTAAAAAAAATATGAGAAATTTCCCAGCAGCTTTGCAAGCCAACCAGATATTCTGATCCAGTAGTTTACACTACTATCATTATGGCAGTTTATAAGTCAAATAAAAACACATATCAATCAGACTTCAGTCACTTGAGACATGAGAGAAAGAGAGAAAACAAAAGCAGACATATTCAAGAGTTCCTAAAAATGATATTGTACAGTATCAAACACCTCAAAGAACAACCTGAAGGAGTCCTATAGAAAGGGCCCCAAGCATCTGTATGGTGATGGCTCAATGAAAGACCTCTTCTAGGGTACAGATGCTTTTGCATTGCTGGCAAAAGGAAGAAAAGTTTTTGAACTGGGGTATGAGGTGTAGGTAATGTGTTTAAAGTGTAAAATTCAGAGTACCTTTATTTTATTTTGGCAGAATACATGATTAAGTATTCCCTTTTCACCAAGGTATTCATACCTTATCTGCTTACTAACTGATGACTTGATATACCTTATGTCTCTACAGATACTGTCTCAAATTTTGCACTTGGCAACTATCTGTGTATTTTTCAGCAGGAAGATTAACTGGCTTCAGAATGAACTCAAGATTCTGATAATTATTAGTGAAAAAATTAGATGAGCAACTGTTGGAGGGAGATCCAACTTTTCCTTAAATTGTAGAGTGACAACACAGAGTAAGTACTATGAAAAGGGAACACGTGAGCTAAAATGGAACTTGAAGAGGGTTCTTATGTCCCACTACCACGCAGATGATAGATGTGCTCTGTGGACTGAAGCACACTGAGTAGCCAGTGCAAGAGCAAAACCAACATTTCATATTCTCGAACGTTTTTGTAAGTGATACTATATAAAAATAAAAGTAAAAAAGTAAAAAAATAATTAAATGGACAATTGGATGGAGAAACAAGATCACATAATTGGTAGTAGCTATGATCTGGGGAGAAATTGTAAAAACTACTAGAGTTTGACCAAGAGTCTATATCTTATTAGGTAATGCAACTAAGCACTGTCTTGGAAAGCTCTGCCATCCTTGTTATCTCTCTTTGAAACCCACTGAGCTCAACTTTTCTCATAGGGAGCCACCTCCAATTTAGATTGACCAGGATCTTCTGTCTGTCTAAATTATTGTTTCCCAGCACTGACAAATCTACAAGTATGACAATTATTGTATGACTTGTTCTTTGGTATATTTCTTACATGATTCTTTTTTTTGAAGTATCATTAATACGCAATCTTATGTTGGTTTCAAATATATAACACAGTGGTTCAAGTTACCCATATTATTAAAACCTCACCCCACTAAGTACAGTACTCTCTGTCAACACAGAAAGATGTTACAGAATCAGTGGCTATATTCTCCATGTATTACCATCCCCTTGACCGACTTATATAATGATTGAGAATTTTTGTGCCCTTTTATCCCACTCACTCTTCCAACCCATCCACCCCAACACCTCCCCAATGGTAGCTGCCAGTCATTTTTCAGTGTCTGAGTCTGCTGCTATTTTGTTCATTTTGTTTTTTGTTTTGTACTTGTACTCCACAAATAAGTGAAATCATATGGTATTTGTCTTTCTCCACCTGGCTTATTTCACTGACCATAATACCCTCTAGGTCCATCCATGTTGTTGCAAATTTCAGGCTTTCTTTCTTTCTTAATGGCTGAATAATATTCCATTTTGTCTGTGTGCCACTTCTTCTTTATCCACTCATCTACTGATGGGCACTTAGGTTGCTTCCATTTCTTGGCTATTGTAAATAGTGCTGCGATAAACATAGGGGTGCACTTGTCTTTTTGAATCAGGGATCTTGTTTCCTTTGCGTAAATTCCTAGAAGTGGATTGTATGGTATTTCTATTTTTAGTTTTCTGAGGAAACTCCATGCTGCTTTCCACAGTGGCTGCACCAATTTACATTTCCATCAACAGTGTAGGAGGGTTGTCTTTTCTCCACATCCTTGCCAGCATTTATTTCTTATGTTTTGGATAGTGGCCATTCTAACTGGTGTGAGATAGTATCTCATGGTGGTTTTGATTTGCATTTCTCTGATGATTAGCAATGTGGAGCATCTTTTCATGTGCCTGTTGGCCATCTGTATTTCTTCTTTGGAAAAATGTCCAGGTCTTCTTCCTATTTTTTAATCAGGTTATTTGTTTTCTTGGTGTTGAGGCATATGAGTTCTTTACATATTTTAGATGTTAACCCCTTTTCAGATAAATTGTTTACAAATATATTCTCCAATACTTTTTGCCTTTTGTTCTGCTGATAGTGTCCTTTGCTATACAGACTTTTTTTAGTATGATGTAGTCCCACTTGTTGATTTTTTATTTTGTTTTCCTTGCCCCAGGAGATATGTCCAGGAAAAAATTGCTCATGCTTATGTTCAAGAGATTTTTGCCTATGTTTTCTCTTGAGACTTTTAGGGTTTCATGACTTACATTTAGGTCTTTGATCCATTTTGAGTTTACTTTTGTGTATGCAGTCAGACAGTAATCCTGTTCATTCTGTTGCATGTAGCTCTCCAGTTTTCCCACCACCAGTTATTAGAGAGGCTGTCTTTCCCCATTGCATATTCATGGCTCTTTTATCATATATTAATTGACTATATATGTGTGGGTTTACTTCTGGGCTCTCTATTTTGTTCCATTGATCTATGGGTCTGTTCTTGTGCCAGTACTATACTGTTTTGATTACTGTAGCTTTGTAGTATAGCTTGAATTCAGGGAGTGAAATAACCCAGCTTTGCTCTTCTTTTTCAGGTTGCTTTGGCTGTTCAGAGTCTTTTGTGGTTCCATGTGAATTTTAGGATTATTTGTTCTAGTTCATTGAAAAATGCCACTGGTATTTTGATAGGGATTGCAATGAATCTGTAAATTGCTTTGGGCAAGGTAGCCATTTTGAAAATATTAGTTCTTCCTATCTATGAGTACAGGATAGATTTCCATTTATTTGTGTCTTCTTTAATTTTTCTTATGAGTGCCTGAGTTTTCAGAGTACAAGTCTTTCACCTCCTTGGTTAGGTTTATTCCTAGGTATTTTATTATTTTTAATGCAATTGTAAATGGAGCTGTTTTCTTGATTTCTCTTTTTGCTAGTCTATTGTTAGTATATAGGAACACAACAGATTTTTGTGTATTAATTTTATATCCTGCAACTTTGCTGAATCCAGTTATTAGTCTCTTTTGCCCTCATGATAGGTCTGTACAGGCCAACCACTGGAATGCCAACCAACCACATAACCTCACATACCTTCTGTGTAAGCTGCCACACAGGAAAAACAGACTGCACCAGAGATTGGGACCCGACCTAAAAGCAATCAATCCACAAACTGGCCAGAGATCTCAGTTGCTCTTGCATTAGTCTTCTAATAGGAACAACAGTTTCCAACTGGGCCTCTTGAGGGCAGTTGAAATGGACACAAGAGGGAGAACTAAACTACTAAAGAGAGCTGAACCCTATCCAGTGGAAAGATACACAAATGAATAAAAAAAAAATCAGTCACGAAGTATCTGAGTCACAATAATGGCAGAACAGGCTGAAAGATGAATACACTTCTGATGTTAAGGAGGCAGTAAGACAATACAGCGCTATTTTGTATCTACTTTGACCAAACAAATTCCTATCCCCCAAATTATTTCTGTTTCTCAGTTTCCTCCTCTGTAAAAGTGGGATAAAGTATAATAAAAGTATAATAAAGGTTGCCTGATATCATAGAACTATTGTGAAAAATAAATGGGTTGTTACATATGCAATACTTTGAGCCTAGCACCTAATAAATACTAGATAAATACAGATAACCACTTATTATCTAAACTCCTGCTTTTTGAAAATGGAATAATTGAGGTAAATTTTTTGATAAATTCCTTGCTATCCAAATTCAAGAACCAAAGAGGTTTGGCTATAGAGAGATACTTGTGCTACTTATTATAGTCAAGCTTCTCAACATGTGCCAGAAACTATGCTATGTGATTTACATGTGAGAATAAACCAACCTTTTTTTTAATTGAAACATATTTGACATAGAACATTGTTTAAGTTTAAGGGGTATGACATGTTGATTTAATACATTTACATATTGTAATATGATTAATATTGTAGTGATAGACCTATCACATCACATAATTATTTCTTTCTTGTGGTGGAAGTAATGAAGACCTAGTTTCTTAGCAAGTTTGATGATTATAATATTATTGTGTATATTCATTACACTGTGTATTAGATCTCCAGGACTTTTTGTGTATTAGTTGCAAGGTCGTACCCTTAAGAAATATTTCCCATCCTCTGCCATCCTCCACACCCCCAGCCCTTGGCAACCACCATTTTACTCTCTATTTTTATGAATTTGGCTTTTTGAGATGCTACATATAAGTGACAGCATACAGTACAGGATTTGCTTTTCTTTGTCTAACTTACCTCACCTAGCATAATGTCTTCAAAGTGCACCCTTATTGTTGTAAATGGTAGAACTTTCTTCTTTCTCATGGCTGAATACTATTCCATTGTATAGACCACATCTTTTATCCACACACAGGAAGTTTGGTTGTTTCCATATCTTGGCTACTATGAATAATGTCATAATAAACATGGGAATGCATATATTCCTCTGACATCCTGTTTCATTTCCTCTGGTGTATATGCTGAAGTGGAATTGCTGGATCATTAAGTAGTTCTACTTTTAAGTTTTTGAGGAATCTCCATACTGCTGTCCACAGTGGCTACACCAATTTACATACTTACCAACAGTGTACAAGAGCTCCCTTTTCTTCACATCCTAACTAGCACTTGTTATCTCTTGTCTTCTTGGTGAGAGCCATTCTAACAGGTGTGTGGTGATACCTCATTGTGATTTTGATTTGCATTTCCCTGATATTTAGTGATGTTGAGAACCTTTTCATGTACCTATTGGCTATTTGGATGTTTTCTTTGGAAAAATGTCTACTTAGCTTCTCTGCCCATTTTTTCATCAGATTGTTTGCTAAGAGCTATAGGAGTTTCTTTATGTATTTTGGATATTAACCACTTACCTAATACATGGTTGGCAACTATTTTCTTCCATTTTCTTGGCTACCTTTTCAAGATACTATTGCAGCAGGACATGTTCTATGAGATCGAGCTGAATGCAGGCATGCAGTCCTAGGTCAAGGAGAGGCACATGCTCCTCTTTAAGCAAATTATCATCTTTAGTGAGCAACTTAGGAAGGGATTCATCACCCTGGGCAACTTTAAAAGGAACATCAAGATGAATTACTTAGTCCTGGAGAATATGGACAAGGACCCCTGTAAGTCTGTGCTCATGAACAGGGAGACTTCTCAGCAGGTCATTCTATAAACTGCCAACACTCACATTCAGCAAGGCTGCGTGTAGGACATCAATATGTCTTAGCAACACAGCAAGACTTCTTAAATGCACTACAGTCACCCACTGAGTATCCGTGGAAAGAAAGGAGCACAGTTGCGGTGAGGTCTCAGCCTGCTCACATTCCTTAAGCCAGCTCTGGCCCCACTCCCCTGTCTCCCAAAGGAAGACAGAAACTCCCAAAGGGCTCCAACTATAACCTGTCTCTGCCATTCCTGTAGATATCTACTTCCAAGGGTTTCACTACTACCAGCCTGGGGACAAGTTTGAGGCCAGCAAGCAGAGTGGCCTGGGAGGCTGCAAAGTAACCTTGGTCGAGGACCGTGATAAAAAATTACTCTTCACCAAAGGAGAATGAAATCTATGTGAGCCAAGAAGATATGGTCTGGGCCCTCATTGTCAGCCAGCAGAACATGTGCCTGGTGTACCAGTTCCCCAGCCACATTTCCCTGCAGCTAAAGACTGGGTGCTGGGCAGCATCCTGGAGCCCCTCACCAAAGCCAGCAGCAGAAACAGTGACAAGAGCCTCAGTAAGTGCTTCATAACCTTCCCCAGGAGAGGCGCATGTGGAGTTTTAAAATTCAAAAGCCAACAGCACAAAAATGCAAACACATGGTAGGGAATTATAGCTGCTTACTCTGGACAGTGACACTAGAACCAGGGTTTTGAGTGGGGGAACCACATGCAACATGTCATCCAAGCCAGACTGCTGTGATATTTTTTTGTTGGTGGTTGGTGATAATGATTTTTCTTTCTTTTCATTTCTAATTTTCTGCTCATTTTTCCTTTTTCCTCCTATATCGTTTTGCTTATTTTTTTGGGGGGAAAAAAAAAAGAAATATAGGAAGGATAGCCCAGGAACCAATAAAAAGGTATCTGTACAGTTTAGAAGAAAACAGAATAGAAGGGGTAGAACTATGAGTGTGATTTCTTTGATATTTTTTATATTGTTTTGACTTTTGAAACATGTTTTACAAATTCAGAAAATAAAAAATAAAAAAGATGGAAAAAAACAAAATCCAAAAGTGAACACAAACATAAGATTAAAAATCTATTTTATAAGTGCATATCAAGTCAATAATGACCACACAAAGAAAAGAATTTAAATCACCTCTGAATATGCACTCTGACCATAGATAGCCTTATATTGGAATATACTAGAATATATTCTGAACATAAAAAGAAATCCAAAGAAGGCTTGCATATAACTTTTTTATGGTGGTTATTATTGCAATGGTGTTGGTGTAACATTTTGGAAACTGAAGTGAGTACAGAAACATAAGGAGTCCTGTGAACACTTTCATATGTGTATGAAATAAATAATTTTGAAGAGTCATAAGCATCTTCTCACCATGGCCTAAGAGGATATCGACTAGAAAATAGTCTTTTAAAAAATACATAAATGGTTGCACAACAATGTTAATATACTTAACACTACTGAACTGTGTGCTTAAAAACGGTTAAAATGGTAAGTTTCATGCCACGTGTATTTTACCACACTGTAGGCACTGAGCCAGGAAGTGACACAGATCAACTCTAAGCTGAGTATATCCCTGGAAGAAGGGTGCTGTTATTTTCCTTTCACAGATGAGTGAACTGTGGCTTCAAGATGGCAATTACCTCCTACAACATCAGAAAGTAATAGCAGAGGCTGGAATTGACTCTAGGTTTCTCAGTCCCCAAAGCTTATGCTCCTTCTACTATAACCATATTTCCTTTTCAACAAGAATATTAACAATTTACTTTTGCTGTATTTTAAATGATGGGGCATTCCCTGATTTTGCTATTGATGCATTATTTATTGTTACTGAGTAGTGATAGTAGCAGTTTTAAGTTATTTTACCAAGAATTCACAAAGAAGACAGTAATTCCAGAGGAAAATTATTTAGTCTCTTGGATGCCAACATCTGACCTTCCTGAGGGTTCTTGTTTCAGGTCACATCCTCTGTGTGGAAAACATGGAGCCTAAAACTCAAGGTGGAAGAGATCCAAATTCAAGTTGTATGTCTGTTCTGTTTTTAAATAAAATTTAAATTTCTGAACATTTAAGTTTAAATTAAGAAATGTTAAGTCTGTTTGAAATACATTTTCAGGCAACACACACTAGCAACATGTTCAGAAGCAAAAGCAGCTACTACTAGATGCTTGTCAGCATGTGCTGGTCCTGCACTCCTGGGGATGGGTTGGAAGTTGACTATTCAGTAAGGTCAGAGACTACAGGAACCCAAGCTCTGTTATTACAAGGTAATTAAAAATATCTTCACTGAATTGATAAAGAAACCCTTTCAAGATGGAGAAATAAAAGGAGCAAACCACTGAATTTCATTACATAATAATAGTTACATAATATTCAGGAGTATGTCTTTAAAAATGCATGATAAAAATAAAATAATTTAAATGTCCTTATGAATGCATAAATAGTTATGTGTAAGGAGGAACAAATTGGAATGTCACCAACATTCACACTGAAATTCAACAAACAAGACCTAATTTAATGATACTAACTAGAAGAGAACAAAGATCCTTTAATTCCTGGAGTGCAATAAATTATAGTAATCTTTAAATGAAACATATATGCTAAAATGCTTTCAAAAGTAAAAATTTTTACATCAGTGTAAAGTAGTTGGAAGGATAAAATATTGGTCATGATCCATGCCAAGTTCAAAGAGGTATTAAACTCTGGATAGTAGCCAAGATGAAAGAGAAACATTTGAAGAATTTTATCTTGAAAAGATAATCACACAAATGTTTACGATAATAATAACCATATCAATGCCTACCATGGGGTAATGGTCTAAAAACTAAGCCCTTGAGAAAAGCTCACTAAATCAAATCATTCAAAGTGCTTCTCAGGTAAAACTCCTTTCAACCCATATTATATGCGTGACAAATGATTTAAAAGAGAAACAAGGAAAAATCAACTCTAAATATGAGTAGGAAAGTAAAGTTCAAATCTCTCGTCTGCTAGGCATTAAGTCTTCTATCATCTCTTGTCTGCTAGGTGTTAAGTCTTCTATATCAACAGACAAAAGAAATCCAATCTGAAAATTATTTGCTAAATTATTTCCTTTAGATGATGTCACTACAATTTAAAAAAGCGTTTTGCTGATAATAAATGAATCATCTTCCCTGGCATTATTACTCTTTTCCATCCCCTTCCTGTCTATCCTTCTGTGGCTTCTTACTATGCAAGTCTACCAGCAGAGTGCAAAGCTTGCAAGGGTTGTGAACTTGAACCTGTTCGTACATTGTTACCAGTCAGGGAAGAGATGAGTGTAGAAGGAAAAAGTGTTTAAACACTTCAATAGCAATTTGACAGAGGGATTTTATGTCTGTTGAATCTAAAAACAAAATACATAGGTTTATATATCTTGTAAATTAAGAATTTTTAGAGTATAATTTACATACAATAAAATTTAACTTTTCAAGGTCAATCCCCCCTTGTAGTCAGTTCCCTTTCCTGACACAGAATCCTTGGTAACCACTGACCTGACTTCTCTCCTTTAAACTTTGCTTTTTCTAGAATTTCATATAAATGGAATCATAAACTTCATAGTCTTTTGTGGCTGGTATCTCTCACTTCACACAGTGCTTTTAAGATTTAACCATGTTGTTACATGTATCAATGGTTGGTTCCCTTATATTGCTTACAAGTACCATTTTATGGGTGCATCAAACTGTGGTTATCCATTCACCAGTTGATGGGTTTCTGGGTTTTTTCCAATGTTGGATGATTATGAATAAAACCGCTCTTAAGCATTTTATGTACAGATCATCTTTTGTAAATGGATATCAAAAGTGTTCCAGCACCATTATTTTTCAAAAGGACTATCCTTTTTCCTTTGACTAGGACTTCCAATACAATACTGCTCAGAAATGGTAAGACTAGATATCCTTGAGTTACTCCCAATTTTCAATGGAAAACATTTAGTCTTTTACCAGTAAATATGAAAAGTTTCTTGTAGTTTTTCATGGATATCATTTAAACAGGAAGAGGGACTTCTCTTTGGCTTTGTTATGAACTTTTATCATTAATGGGTATTTAATTCTGTCTAGTACTTTTCTCCATCTTTTGGGATGACATATATTTTTTTATTCTGTTAACACTGGAATTACATTGATTTTTCATCAGCTTTGCATTCCTGGATGAGCCCCACTAGGCTATACTATATAATCAATATTCTACTGGATTTAATTTACAAAAGTATTAAGAATTTTCATGTCTATGCTCACAGATGACATTTTTCTGTAGTTTTATTTTCCTGTAATGTCTTGGTAAAGTTTTGGTGTCTTCATGGAATTTTCCCCCCATCCTCTTAACTTACCTGTGTGCTTGAATTTAAAGTCAGTTTTTTGAAGGCAGCACTTAGTTGGGTCTTGTTTTTCTATCCAACCTGATGACCTCTGCCTTTGTTTACATGATTCATTATTAATATAATTACTGATATGGTTGAATTTAAATCTATCATCTATTCTATTTCTCATTTCTCCTAACTATTCTTTGTTGCCTTTCTCTTCTCTTCCTTTTTTCTTTTGGATTATTTTTAATGATTCCATTTTATCTCTACAACTAGCTTATTAGTTATGTCTCTTTTATTTTTTAGTGGCTGTTCTGCAGTTTATATCTTTAAATAAATACAGTAAATACAGTCTACCTTCAAATAATATTACACCACTTCATGCACAGTGTGAGGCCTTCAGTGTCTAAGAGGCCATCACAGCTGATGAGGGACCAGCACTACTGCTGTCTTTCCCCTCAGTGCTCCTAGGATTTCAAATTCTTTCAGTGTTGAGCTGCTGTGACCTGTGCCTAGTGTGGGGGGTAGTGCAGTGGTAGAAGGTTATTTGTAGTATTCCTGCTCTGTCCACAGCTTTCAGCAGCTGCAACATACTTATACCACAAGGGAGGTGTCTGTCCACACTCCTACATCACAGTGGTAGACTGCTGTTGCTTGTTACTTGGTGTTAGGCTTATTTAGGGGCCAGGCTGGTAATTGGTCCCCTGGTCTTAGGCAGGGTCCGTGTGCCTGCTGTTGGAGATGAGCTGGTGAGTTGGGAGACTTTCTGTCCCTCCAACCTTGGCAGCTGAACCCTGCAATGTTTCTGTGGTGGCTCTTTGGCAGGTGGGGTTTTTCTGTCCCTTTCCTGATGGTATATACCATGGCTTTGTATTTGTTTAGATTCCTGGACCTGACAACCTGCTTTCCCTCAGGGGAAGGTGGCTTTTGCTTCTTTGCTTCTCCCAGAAGCAGGACCTTTTTGCCTGACTCCTGCACAAAGGAGGGATGGTTCTCTAAACTCTAGCAATAGCAAAAGTTGTTCTGTTTTGACCCTTCCCCCAGAGACTCTGTGGATGAGGGGTTGCTGCCTTGCCTCCAGGGACTGAAGGCTTCTTCACTTCCTATGAGGGATGTGCCTGAGGAAGTAACAGTTTCAAGCCTTTTCCTGGCACCAACTGCTTCTCAGCCCTCATGACTGGCAAGGTAAGCGGTCTCCCACTCTTCCGCCTTGCCCAGTTTCTCTTGTGAGCATCTGGCAGAGACCCAAGACAAAGGACTGCAAAAGACAGCCCCCCTGTGGTTGGAGCTCCTGGCTGCTCTAAAGTGATATGCTAGCCCACACTTAGACATTAGGAGATTTAAAATATTTTAGATATTTCTTCTCATTTGCTCCTGTGGCAGCGACCTCCCTCTCACGCGCTGTCAAAGGTGAAAAGTTGGTGTGCCTCACTTCTCCTTGGAGGAAGTTGTCCCACTTTGGAATTAAG